TAATTGCCAGAATTCAGTTAGGGACGTAACTTAGTAGAGTGCTTGTTTAGCAAGCACAGAGTCCTGGGTTTAACCCCCAGCACAGCACAGACTGGCCGTGATGGTGCACACCTGTAATCCCAGAACTTGGCGCTCTCTCTCTCTCTCTCTCTCTCTCTCTCTCTCTCTCTCTCTCTCTCTCTCTCTCTCTCTCTCTCTCTCAAAATTGCTTGAAAGTAGTCATTCTGCTGAGAAAGATTATCAACTTGGGCTACAGCTATGCCTGAGTCTGGTGCCCAGCCCCAGGCACATATCTGGCCTTTGATTGTGTTGTTAGCTGACAGTTATTGACTTGAGCTGTGCACGAGTCTTGTGCAGGAGCTGCCCAGGAAATTTGGAATCCAATATAAATTATTTACTTATTACTCATTCTCTCTGCCCCAGGACAAACGTCTGTTTTTTTCTTTTAAAAAGTGATTAAACTTTTCCCGGGTGGGTTGGCAGGCTGGCATTTTGTAATTGACTAGATACAGTAGATTCTTAGAAGTTCTTACCACCTCTGCTGAATCGAGGCAGCAACTCTTCCCAGGAAATAGCAGCATTTAACATCAGTTTGTGTCGGTGCATGTAGTAGGGACCCTCATCTAAGGCCAGTTTCCAGGTATGTCTAGATCACATGTCATCCTGGGGAATTCCTCCATCAGAACTCAGGGTGACCAGGCTGGCAGGTGAGGAGCAGGCCTCTGCCCCATGGCTGAGCAAACGCTTCTTACTGTGGATTGTTCTCCGTTTCTCCATTCATCAATAGAAAGCATGAAGGGCACTTGCAAGTCCTGTGATAGCAGCAGCTCCGGGAGTTGGTAGAACCGATTCTCTGTGTCAGTAAACTTCAGGCAGGGGACTCCTGATGCTCAGTGCTTAGTGGGTGGCATCAGTCAGGGTCTCTACAGAGGACTGTGGAACAGAAACTCTGACAACAAGCTTGCTAAGTGGAGGGTACTTAAGAAAGCATTGAGGACTGGGAGACGGTTAAGTGGGTAAAAGCATGTGCCGCACAAGCATGAGGACCTGAGTTCAGATCCCCACACCCACATAAAAAGCTGGGCATTGTCACATCGCCTGTAACCCCAGCTCTGGGGTGGGCACAGACAGAATCACCCCTGAGGCAGACTGGTCATAAACCTATCTGGACAAAAAAAAAAACAAGGGCGAGCTCCAGGTTCTGTGAAAGATCCTGTCTCAAGGGACTAAAGTGGGAAGCCATGGAGGACACTCAACATCTCTCATCCTCTCTTGACCTTTGTGTGCACATGGATACACACACACACACACACACACACACACACACACACAAAGCCTTGAGCTGGCTGTGGTGGTACAGCCTGTAATCACAGCACTCAGGAGGTAGAGGCAGGAGGATCAGCAGTTAAAACCCAGCCTTGGCTATAGTAAGTTCAGTGATAGCCTGGGCTATGTGAGACTGGCTCAAAAGAGACAGTGAAGGGATGGGAGCAGGCTTGCTTGATAAAATGCTTGCTGCACGAGCATTAGGACTCTAGCTTGAATTCTCAGCATGTAATTAAAACTTGAATGGGGTGGTATTTAACTGTAAATCTGGTGCTGGGGAGGCAGAGACAAGAGGATCCCTTTGACTTGTTGACCAGTCAGTCTAGGTTTATTGAGAGATCCTATCTCAAAAACTAAGGTGGGGGGGGCTGGCAACATGACTCAGTGGGTAAGGGCATTTGCCACACAAAACTGACCACCTGAGGTCAATCCTCAGATCTCACATAGTATGGAAAGAGAGACCCAGTTCTCCAAAGTGGTCCTCTGATCTCACTATGTGCACCTTGACACATGTGTACCCATACACAAACACATCACACACATACACAACAATACATAATTAAAAATAAGATGAGGAGAGATGGAGGAATATATGGGACACTAACTTCTCATCTCTACACATTCTCTTACACACATGTGCACACATACATGAGCACACACACAGGAACACACTCATGAAGAGAGAGGGGAGAGAGGAAAGGGATGGGTAAAGAGAAAGGAGAGATAGAGAGAGAGAGAGAGAGAGAGAGAGAGAGAGAGAGAGAGAGAGAGAGAGAGAGAGGACTTAAGGTCTGCCCACAGCCAGAACTGAATTTCAGAACAAAAGCACCAAGCGCCCCAAGCTAGGCTTTGCCACCAATCTCATTAAAGGGATGAGTAATGGTGAAAAGCAGAGAACAATTTAGTCTTTAATCAACACATTGGGAAGAATAGAAGGATGTGCTCACTCCCAAGTTCACCTTCACAGCCCTGACACTGACTGAGGTTAAACAAAGAATCAAGGAAGGGAGAATCCAGGTGCATAGTTAGGCAGTCCCAGTCAAGGTATAGTCCCTCCCATCATTGCTTCAGCTCTGGGCCTTCACTGTACTCTGATAAATTGTTAGTCTACTAATCTGTCATTGTTACCAGAGTTGTTAGGATCAGAGCCTAGGTTCTGGCAGTTCTAACAAGCGAGGCGCAGCCACCCATTCTCAATATGCCAATCAACGAGACAAGGCAAAGTAGAGAAAGGAGATTTATTCAATGTGACCACTGGGAAGAGGAACAAATAAAAGGTCCAGTGATAGCCCACTCCCCAGTATGTCTTCAGGGATCTTGATATGATGTTTAGGTTTACATGGAGGGCAAGATGTATATATATATAGTTAAGGGGTCCTGATCGAGGCATGGTTTTGCCCCTCCTTGACCCTATCCATCATTATTTTGGCTCTACTGTATCCTGAAAAGTGGTCTGACAAGTGTTTTGGAATTGTTTTAAGTCTCTTCCTGGGAAATAAGTTCTTCCTCTGGCTACCTTCAGTGTTTCAGTCCCTAGCACAACTTTCCTGCATTAATTTCAGTTTCTTGGGGGTCCATTGTTTCAAAGGTCTAACAGCCCAAGACAGGGGCACATATGTTTCTCTTTAGAATATCTCCTTTCTTACCAGGATGGTTATATCAGCATAGAGAGGGCTAATCTGGTCTCTACAAGATGAACCACTCCAGGGTATAGCCTTTCCATCCCAAGGGTTTCTGGAATCCAGGGTGACTGCACGTTTAGAACAATGATTTGTCTCTATGTCTTCAGCCATGAAGAGGGATGAGATAGTCAGGGAAACAGGCATTCCTTGGTCTGTCTTGCCTGTCTAGAGTCAAGCAGGAGTCTGACCTCCAGCGAAGGAACCAGACACAAAATGAAGGCAGAGGTGCCAGACTTTAGTGACTTGACCTCATGAGCCGAAGCGAGAGGTTAGTGCTTTTTAGCAAGAGTGATTTTCAGGGCTGTGTTTGTCCAGCTTGGAAGCTGAAAGAAATTGATGGAAGAAGTAGTTATGGGATGTGTGTGTGTGTGTGTGTGTGTGTGTGTGTGACACGCTTGTGAAATGGAGGCCAGAAGCAGGAGGCATATATCCTGGGGCTGAAGTTACTGTTCCTGACTGGCCCTAGTCCACTTCCTTCCTTTTCTACCATCTCCATCACCTCCATCCTCTCCAGCCACTAAGAACCCTAACATTTTCTTTTTTCCCCCATTTTTTAAATTAGAAACAATCTTATTTTACATATCAACCCCAGTTTCCTCTCCCTCCCATCCTCCCAAGTCCCCCACTGACCTCCATCCCATCTCTATTCTGCTCCATAGAAAGGATGAGGCCTTCCATGGGTGATCATCAAAGTCTGTCACATCATTTGGGACAGGGCCTAGGCTTGCCTCTGTGTGTCTAGGCTGAGTGTATCCTTCTACAGAGAATGGGCTCCCAATGTCCATTTGTGCACTAACCCTAACATTTTTCAAGCCAAACTATTTCGTTTCATCCATGTCTGAAGTAGTCTCGACTTTCAATACCTAACGAAGGTCCTTTAACTTAGAGCCCAGGGAGATGGCTCAATGGTTAAGAGCCTGCATTGCTCTTGTTGAGCATCCAAATTCAATTCCCAGCACCCATAATGGTTTTTGAGCTAGGATCTTACTATGTAGCCCAGGATAGTCCTGAACTCTCCATCTTCCTGCTGTAACCCAGGATTTGGGATTACAGGTGTAGGCCACCATACCTAGCTTTGATTTATTTTGAAGTGGATGTTTCCAAGCTGCTTTTTTCTTCTATGTTGCCGCCAGTGTCAACTGGTTTGCAAGGAGGAAGTATCTGTTAATAATTGCTTATTTTACCTAAATTATGTTCTCTAGGAAGTATAGTTTTCCTCTACTAATTCTTCAGTCAGAATAAATAACAAACAATACAGCAAACATATTGGCTGAAAAGAGCTTCTAGATAAATTGGTATTTATTTTCAGTTTTATATGTTTAGTTTTTATTTTTATTACATGCCAGGGCACTTGTATGGAGGATAACTTGCTGAACTGATTCCCTCCTTCCACCCTGTAGGTTCTGGAGATCACACTGGGGTTATCAGGTTTGGCAGCAAGTGCCCTTATCTGCTGAGGCATCCCATGGACTTGGACTCTCTAACTGATTTAGAATGTGCTAAAATAAACTCAGGAATCCAGGAGGTGTCTCTTGTTTGGGTTCCAGGAGTTGTGCTGTTTGATTCCTACAGTTCTTACTCCCTCTAGATCTCATCCTGAACAGACTTGGGAGTTCTAGAAACTTCAACACTCAGTAAATCATTACAGAGACTCAGGAACTTCAAGTCCAATATAATGCCTAGCAAAGACAAAAGCAGATAGACTTGTATTACAGGGTAGCTGTTAAGGATCAAGAGACACAATTTGGACACAGCTATCATGTGACCATGAGGTAATGGAGTTAGAGCCAAAAATAGAAAGACACTCGTTGAAGGGGGAAGCATCCTAGAGTAGGAGCCTCCCTACCGTGCTTGCCCAAAAGAGGAACCAGAAGAGGAAAATCAACCTGGCACAAGCATTAGTGAAGGAGAGCAGCAGGACTACCTCCAGCTCTCAATGGGACCCCAGAAGAGAAGGGGGGGCAACTGACATGTTCTCTCATTTGCCCTTAGGTGCCCAAGAAGTATTCCTAGGGATTTCTACTAATACCTGCCAATTACAGGGAAGCAGCCTGTCAACTTGAGCAGGCAGTTCATGATGAACACAGAAGCTTGCCCTGGCTTCCAGAACATCCTGCTAGGTTGAAGAAGGCAGCTGCAATTCAACAGACCTGGGAGCACTCCTGACTGGGAGGAGAGGTCCTGGGATGTGAATACTTGGTTTTAGAGCAAGTCTTCTGTAGGAGTGATCCTGGGGTGTGAATACTTTGTTTTTTAGAACATAACAGACTTGGTATGTAGTCAGGTAACTCAGAACCCTTCCAGTCCCATCCCATCCTTCCCCCCCCTCTACACACACACACACACACACACACACACACACACACACACACACACAGAGCACCTCAAGGTATGGGGGGAAAACCCTCTCAGTTTTCATACTTCTAGTGGAAAAACACCTGGTATGAGAGATGTAGGCATGGGCCAGAGAGATGGCTCAGTGCTAAGGGCATTTGCCAACAAGTCTGATGACCTCGGTTTCATCTCTGTAGCCCACATGGCAGAAGGAGAGAACTGACTCAAACAAATTGTCCTCTGACTTCACAGGAGTGAGCTACGGTGCTTGTTCCACTCCCAAATAAATAGGTAAAATACTTTACCATGTAATAAAACATTTTAAAAAGATATGGGTGAAAAAGAGGGCTTTAGGGTATAAGGAAAGATACTTGATTTTTATGTATTTTAAATTATTGAGCAGACTACACACTCACATTCTCCTCTCTATTAAATGATGCTCATAGGACATAAGAAAGTAAAGAACGACAGGCATATTACATGTGATCTAAGATGGTTGCAACCACAAGGTTCAGTAAACAAATCACAGAGAAAGGAAGCATGCCACAGATATCACTATGACGAAGTGTCATTCTGACCTGGTTCTGGGAAACATGAGACCAGCTGCCACAAACAAACAAGCCAACAAAACAGGCTTTTCAGCTATAAGAAAATCACTCAGCATTGTTCAACCATTTCATACATGCTGTCTGTATCAGAGCCCATCCTTTCCCAATCTGCCCACGATTGCACCTTATCATATCTCTTGGAACCAGGGAAGAACTACTTTAGCCTGATACGTGGTTTCATCCAGTGGTGGCGCCATGCATCTAATGGTGCGTTTTCATGTTCTTGTAGTCATATTTTTTATGGTGTTTGGTTTTTATATATGCCATGAAATATTTATGCTGTTTAATTAGGCTAAAGCAATTTTATCTTAATTTTTAACTAGAACCCTAAAAAATATTTAAGCAGATGAAAAAAAAAACCAAAATGTTAAAATTTGAGAGTGCTTCCTGGGTTGTCATGAAATGCAGACTGTCAGTGAAATTACAAAGTTAATTTTATCCCCAGTAAGGCACACTTAAAAATAGACTCTGACTGTGCCTGCTCTGATAGGTACTTCTCAGGGTTCCCCAAGCTGAGTCACCTCTGGTGAGGAGTCTCCATGACATAGCACACAACCTGGCCCACAATGGTTTCCTCCAGTGACAGAAGAAAAGAGACATGAAGGGCATCCCTGTGGTGATTAATATTGGCTGTTAATTTGACAAAGCTTAAAGTCACCTAGGAGACAAACTTCTGGGCTTGTTTCTAAAGGAATTTCTAGTCTGGGGTAGCTGATGTGAGTAGAGTCACCCTGGGTGTAAACAGCACTTTTCCCACAGACTGCAAACGAAGAAGAGACCCAGCAGAACACCAGCATTCTTCACCTTCTGCTCTGGGACTGCAGATGCTGTGTGACCAGCTGACTCCAGCTCCTGCACCATGGCTTCCCGCATCAGGATGGACTGTATCTCCTCGAACTATAAGCCAAATAAGCCTTTTCTCTCTTAAGTTGCTTCTTTTTTGGTATTTGACCACAGAGATGAGAAAAGTCATTAATTCAAAGGGCAAAGTGGTAAAAAGCCAGAGAGAGAGAGAGAGGAAGGAGGCTTGGAGCTGGAAAAGTGCCCTGGGTACATCTGTGTTGGAGGGATGTGGTGTGCATGCCATGGAATACACTGTGTGTATAGTTGTTCTAGTTACATTACTGTTGCTGTGATAAAACAAAAAACCAACTTGGTATGGAAGGGGGGTTATTTGACTTATACTTCCTGGCTAATAATCCATTATTGAGGGGCGTTGAAGCAGGAACTCAAAGCAGGACCCATGGAGAAATGTTGCCTACGGGCTTGTTTCCTGGCTGTCAATGACTCATGCTCAGCTAGCTGTCTTATGCTCAGTCCAGGATCACCTGCCTAAGGATGGTGTTGCTCATCATAATGTGCTGTGCCTTCCCATATCAGTCAGCAAACGAGAAAATGCCACATAGATATATGCCCACAGGTCAATCTGATTAAGGTCCAATCAGTTGAGGTTCACACTTCCCAAATAACTCTATGTTGCATCAAAATGACTAAAAATTAAATCATAGCTAGGTGTTGGTGGGGTAAACCTTTAATCCCAGCACTTGGGGGGCAGGGGCAGGGCAGGAGGATCTCAGTGAGTTTGAGGTCAGCCTGGTTTACACAGTGAGTTCCAGGCAGCCTAGCTACACAGAAAAACCCTATATCAAAAATAAATAAACAAACAAACAAACAAATAATAGAGTAGTAGTAATCCTCACTTTTGTAAGGGAAATGAAGGGCTGTGTCTAATGCCCTCTGATGTCTTTAGAGACCCGTCTTAAACTGAAGAAAGACCTTCAAATATCTGGTTTCTCTCAATGTCTCATTTGGGTCTATTAACCTTGTATGTAATTACATTGCATCTCAATCTGCACTCACTAAATGTTCATAATTTTTACATGAAACAGCACTGGCGTCCAGTAGAGTTTTTTCTTTCTTTTTCTGACACATGGCCTTCATATTTTTTTCTTTTAATATTATCCTTAAATCCATCCGACTCAGGAACAAGTTAACAAACAGCTTTCATTCCAAATTAACAGTCTAAGGGGTTGGGGATGGGGGTGGGGATGGAGGACAGGAAAAAGCTAGCAGACTTAATATAGCCCATGAAAAACATACAATTATCTCTTTAAAAATCTCTTCGTTTTTCCAATGGAAAGTTATTTCAAGAGAGCAAGGCATAATCTTTTTAAATTACCCCAATTAAATCGCATAACTGCTTCCCATCAGACTTGTAAAGATTTCACAAGGAATACTTTAGCCTCGGCATCAGTGCAGGTAAAACACCAATTTGAGTCAAGTGCATTCCTTGTTTGGTGCTGTTGAATGAAAGGAGAAAAATAATACTGACACCACTCCTATTCTCAACAATAAATACTATTTCACCAAAGAAACCAGGTGTGGTGGCTCATAACCACAATTCTGGTACCTGGGGAGCAGAGGCAGAAGGATCAAGGCTATCCTTGGCTACATGGCAAATTCAAGGCCATCGTGGCCCTGAAATTCTGTCTGAAAAACCAAATCAGGGCTATGAAGATGATCCAGTGGGCAAAGTGCTTGTCACATAAGCATGAGGACCAGAGTTTAGACATCCAGATCCCAAGTAAAATCTGGGTGGGTATGGCAGCCCACTTGTAATCTCACCATTCACTTGGCAGAGGGGGATTCCCAGAACAAAATGGCTGGCTAGACCAGCTCAGTTGGCAAGCTCTAGTAAATACACAAAGTGGAAAGCAACTGAGGACACCCAAATTCAGTCTCTGCCTTTCACACACGCACACAAGCATGCATACAAACATTCATGCACACCATACAAACTTGACACACACTCTCAAATGACCAAAGCACAAGTTTGAAATTATCAAAGGCTAGTACATTTTTTTAAGTCAAAAGAGAACAACAACAAAACCAAATACATAAACCAAGAGCTTTACTTGACTTAGCTTTAGAAAGGGAGACAATTCACTCTTTTTTGTTGTTGTTTTAAAATAGGGCCTCCCTATGTGTCCCCAATGTTTTAGAGCTTGCTATCAGGTCGACCTTGAACTGACTTTTTGCTGAGAATGACTTTGAAATCCTGGTTCTCCTGCCTCCACCTTCTGAATGCTGTGATCACAGGTCAGAGGCACCACAGCTGGCTTCAATTAATCTTTGATACAAAGCAATCATTTGTATTTACAGAGCAATGTGGTTATCAATATGTGTATAATGATTAATTAGATCAGGGTGACTGGTGTATCTGTCATCTGAATATTTATCATTTATTTTTTTTGAGAATGTTCTAAATCCCATTAGCTATTTAGAAATATTCAGTTAATGGCACCAACATTTGCAACAGTTACTCAACTGTGATTACTCACCTAGGTCCAGCAGCACCTCTGTATCTGTAAATCTCCCTCCATGCCCCTCCCCTTCCTAAATTCTCACACCATGATTTGGATCAACTTTTCAGTTTCCATTACAGGTGACAATTTTTGATGTTTACCTTTCTGTGCCTGACTATTCAAGATAGAGACATAATTTTCGAAGCCACCAGCTCCAACTCTTCCTTTCATTCCACTGCTCTGTGTGGCAGCCTTTATCCTCTTATTTTCACGTCCTCTTATGATTCTAGTCTTCAGGGACTGTTGTAAATTGATTGTGTGGTTGATTGTTTTCCCATTTCCCTGGAGTTGAGATGGGGCTGCAGGATCTGGTCCTGGGTCCTGGATGAGATTGGGTGCTTCCTGCTTTGGCCCTTAACTCTTTGTGTCTCTATGGCAGAATGCCCTTGTGCATCCTAGTGACAGCCCTGTCTCTCACCCCAGCTGCTTTTATGGGGTCCCCAAAGCATCTGCATCCTTTTTTGTTCTAAAGCAGAGACACAACTGTAAAACTGGCTTTCTGTAATTTCTGAAGATCTGATGCAGGACGAATAAACGTATGAGCAGGTTAAGGTCAGCATATCTTAAGACTAGGAAGTGGTGGCCTGGGGCTGTCACTCGGTTGGTAAAGGGTTGTCTTGCAAGCATGAGGACCTAAGGTTGATACCCAGAACTCACATTAAATTTTTTTTTTCAGCCCATCATGGTGAGGTAGGCATGGTAGAACAGTTCTAGTCAGGGCTCCATGAGCACGGTGGAAGGTGTTCACATCACCGTGGAACTAAGAGCCTGCAATAACCTGGATCGTCTAACCCTTAGTGTTCTACTTCCGCCTGCTAGAACCCGCTCTTTAAAGATACCCTGCTGAAAAGTTTCTGTACCCGGATAAGCTTCTCTGCCAATGCGGCAACCCAAATCAGATCAAATCAATCCGAATTAGAAAAAGCCCATGTTTAATGGATACAGCGCTCCCCGGGATGGCTTTCCAGACCCTCAAAGAGATGGGAAAGAGAGACCGGAAAACCACACAGTTTTCTGGGAGACAGTTTAAATACCCTGTGAGAGTGGTCTTGAACATCTATGAGGGAGGGGGATCATCATTTGGCAGGCTTTCTGAGATGCAGTGGGGTTTGGAGGAAGACAGGAGGGAGGGGCTTGGGTGGAAACTCCACCTTAACACCTTCCTCCCAAAACAGCGCTACCACCTGGAGGCCACCTGAAGACATTGCGAATTCAAACCAAACCATCAAGCATGTGTGTTGGGCTTCAGGCTCACCTGGGTCATGTGTGCGTGCGTCGTTCTGCCAGTTATTGGGACCCAATAGCACTTGGGGGACTGAAGGTGCTTGTTTCCTCCAGGGGCGATTCTGGCCCTCTCCAACCTGGGTTTACCAATTCCACAGCAGTCCCTGCAACTCTCCACTTCAGGGCCTGTCGTACAAGCCACAGCAATGGTGACAGCCAAACTCATCTTCATTTGGCCTCTGTGTCTACACGGTACATAATTTAGACAATAAATATTCAATGAATGCCTGAGCAGATGAACATGTGAATGAGTATGGGTGAGCATTCTGACTCATAGAACAGTCATCATCACGAGTCAGGAGAGAGACTCAGATTGGAGTCAGTGACTTCAGCAGTCAGAGTGGGAGGAGAAGGGGCAGGCCCTGTTCTGTTGCTGCTATGAGGCACAGCTACCTCGGGTGTCCTCAGAAACTGGGGCTAGGTTTGTCTTGTATAGTCTCCACTGTGCTGGCAGAGCGTGGCAAAGCAGTGTTTGCTACCACATTCATTCTCAGGAAGGCTTCTGATTCAATTTGCATTCTTAAGACAGTGCTAGCCAAGCACTAAGTTCTCATGTTGTGACATCACTTTTTAGATGCATTGTAAGTCAAATATACCATTTTGACTAGAACACAGTCAACATTTTTACTGTGGTAGCAGGAGGAAGTGTGAGGTCAAAAATTCACACTTAAGTCCAGGAACTAAAAGGCTCAGAGTTTGGCAAATGATGCTTCTGGAGTGGTCAGCAGGGATTGAGCTGGGTGTGGGGAGGAGACAGGACAGAATTTGGAAGCCCTGCAGGTAAGGACAAGATTAATGATCACTGACTATTGTTCTGCTTTATCTTTTGCAATAATCTTCATTATTGGGAGATATAAGGATTCCAAACACTGAGACTAGGTTTCATATGGCTGAAATTGGCCTCAAACTATATAGCTGAGGATGATTTTGCACTTCTTGATCCTTCTGCCACTTCCTAAATGCTGGGATGACAGGCATGTACCACCACACCCAATTATGAGGTGCTGGGGTTTGAACCCAGGGCTTAGTGCATGCTAAGCAAGCACTCTACCAACCAGGCCACATTCCTACCTGTAAGCAGCCTATTTATGTCCTCAAGTGTGGGCTGATTGAGGTAGCCTCTGAACACAGACCTTTATTGTTAGAGAAGTTTGGTTCAAAGCTCCAGGAGGAGTTGGCCCACAGCTTACTCTGGGCACCTCAGGACCAGCCCAAAGCTATTTAATATTTGGGACCCAGAAGAAAAAGGAGAGAAAAGAGCAAACAATGGTACATACGATGTGGAAAAGAAGGCTGCTCGTTCTGACCAGGGCTAGCGTTTGATACAGAGAAAATGGCTTTGCACGAAAGAGTTAGTATCTATCATACAAATTCAGCTAGAAGTTTTATGTGGTTTTCCCCATAAACCTCCCATTTGTTTCTGCTGGATAGTTTTCTGTCAACTTGACACAAACTAAAGTCATTTGAGAAGAGGGAACCTCAATTTAAAAATGCCTCCATAAGACTGGTCTACTGGCAAGCCTATAGGGTATTTTATTAATTGATGATTGATGGGTGAGGCCCAGCCCATTGTGGTCCTGGGTTCCATAAGAAAGCAGGCTGAGCAAGTCAGGGGTAGCAAGTCAGTAAGCAGCACTCCTCATGGCCTCTGCATCAGCTCCTGCCTGCAGGTTCCTGCCCTGTTTGGGTTGCTGTGCTGACTTTCTTTGACGATGAACAGCAATGTGGAAGTATAAGCTAAATAAACCCTTTCCTCTTCAACTTGCTTTTTGGCCATGGTGTTTCATCACAGCAATAGAAACCCTAGCCAGCACACCCTTTATTTAATCAAGGATTTATATAGGAAGCTTACATGGTGATAAAATTTCACCAGGCTGGTACGGTTCTGTACACTTATAATCCTATCACTTGGACAGTGGAGACAAGAGGATCAAGAGTCCACATTCATCCTTGGCTACATAGTGAACTTGAGTCTAACCTCAGTACCCGAAATAAGACCCTGGCTCAGAAAACCAAACCAAAGAAAACAAAACATCAAATTTTATCTTTAAGAATGTTTTTTTGTCTAGAATTTTAAAACAACAAAGACTCAACAGAAACTGTAGGAGATTTTCCAAATTAGTGCATTGTCATAACTCATATTTTGGAGTGGGGGGGCAGGTTTTTGCCAGGTCTAGTCAATTTATCCAATCTGTACCTGATAGGGGGAGTGTGGATTAAGAAATGGAAGGTAGAAA